GGTGGATAAAATAAACAAACTGCCCAAAAAATTCTGGCCAGAAACAGCCTCCACGAGCCGCCCATGCGCCGCCGCCGGAGGACACGCGCACCACCACCAGGTGCGCTTTGGTCTGCACGGAGTGGGTCTGCCCTCAGATTTTCCGGCAGGTGAGTGGTTTGGCCGAAATTGATGAAAATAGGCTCGGTTTTCGCGAAGAAATCACGAGCAGCCTTTCTCCTAGGTTCGATTTCAGCCTCTTTGATCCAACCAACAGCTCTGATACCAAATGTGAAGATAAACCACCAGCTTTACACGAAGAAACCAGGCTCAGAATACCTCCAATCGAACACCACAAGAGAAAACCCAAATCCCCCAACACTCCAAACGGTTGCTCCACCGTTTTCTACTGCCCAACACAGGAAGTTTCTAATGGTGAAGAGAGTTTTGTAACCACAAGCTAGCCACAAAGGCAAAGGAAAGAAAAAGGGACGAAGGTAGCACACAGCCACGGTTTGAAGCACAGTCACGATTTCTCTCAAAGGCACAAAGTCTCTCACACTCATAAATAGTAATGGATATGCCATACATATAGGATTAGGTATAGAACTAGGTTAGGCCCAATAAGACAAGCTAAGGCCCAAGTAGAAAACATAGGTGGGCCATCCAAGTTTGGGTCGGTTTAGGGTTGGTTTACCAATTGTGGTGTTCGATTAACTTTCAGTCATTTGGACTATGCCGACTGAATTAATACAACGTATTTCATCATCACTCGGGGGAGGTCGNTTTGACAACAATTTGCCTAACAAATTCATCAACATTTTCAACATGGATGGTAGCTTTTCCAGGAGGGTTCAGCAGGAACCACATATTCATTGCCCCAAAGTTCAACTTATCAGTAACTAGATGAAAAACATGTTTCTCAGGTTCCTGCAATTTAGAAAAGAAGCATGTTCTGTAATCTAAGTTTTGTTCAACAAAATCACAGAATAATAGTTGCATCAATGCATCAGGCTTGAAGAATCCAAGTTTACAGGATATTGATTGGAAATGAATTGCGACAACAAAAGTTTCACAAGAATAGGTAGATTTAATTTTGCTTTACAGATTGCACTGCTAGAATTTTCAGTTCAAAGCCCAATTTTTTGAGAAATCGAAGTCAAAAATTGAATTCTGCACCTTAGCATTTGCAATGGTTGAGCTGACCGCAACTGAAGCAGCAAGAACATTGTCAGAAAAGAGTGCATAATGGTAAAGATATGGATTTTCCAGATTCTCACAACGAGGGAACTTCCTCTTTTCTGGTGGAAGGAGGTAATAACTCTATTGTCAAGCGCATGGCTAAACAGTGAATTCCAATTGGAATTGTCATGGGAGCTAGCTGGCTAAGGAATGTGATCTGCTTTTTTAGACTCCGGACTTGCTCATCTGCATATTGCAGCATGGCTCTTAGCTGTTCAGTAACAAGCTTGCAGCCATATAATTGTTCTCTAGCTTTAGACAGTACTTGTCCCATAGCTTTTATTTTTTCAGGTGCGCTGTCATACGAATGTACACCGGCAAAAAAAAAATCAACTTATAAAACAAGTTGGTATTGGTTACACACAGCACACAAGATACTCATCAATTTACTACCTGTGATTTAAATCAGAATCAGAAGTTGCCTCTCCTAAGGCATGCTGACTTTCTTTAAGCCGGTTCTGAAGCTCATGGGCCAAGTCAAGCTTATTTGTCATTCTTGCAATGCTTATATATACTCTTGCCATGATCACTTGATCTCGCATTAAGCGTACAGTTGAATCAGAATTTTCATTTTCATTCTCCTTCCTCCATATACTATATTTCCCCAAGTTTCACGGGTTACCTTTCTTCTTAGCACAGAAAGGGACACCGTGTGGCAGTAGTCTGCTCCGCTAGACTACCTTCCGCCTTTTCTCGTTCCTTCCGGGACGAAAATAAATTTGATCACAATTTAAAGAAAGCTTACAACACGAAATTGAAATGCATTGAAATAAACTTGATCTTTGATTGCTTGAAAGCTGAACATTACATTAGATGAAAGCAGGAAATTACAAT